CACACCACCACTGACCACCACCACCACCACCACCACCACCACCACCACCACCACCACCACCACCACCACCACCACCACCATCATCATCATCATCGCCACCACCACGTGTTTGCTTGCTGGCGTCAGGCGCTACTTGGATCGCCGGAGCCGGACGACCCGCTCGACGCCGCGATCGCCAAGATGTGGAAGGAGAACCACGCCCAGGCCGTCGCAACAGGTCGGCTGTGCTGTGTTGTGGTCTGTTGTGTTGTGTTGTGTTGTGTTTTGCGTCGGTGTGTCTCTGCCCAACATTTCGCGTTTCCTCTCACACATGTTTCACATTCGTGGCACCGCCTTCTTCTCATCCCGAATGACCACCCCCACCCCTTCGCTCTCCCTTGGCCGTCACCAACAGCTAAGGAATGGACGAGGCAGTTCGCCATGTGATGCAAGCACTAATCGGACAACCCATCCTTAACCCCCACCTCGCTTCGCGGACACAGCCACCTGCACTCGATTCCCGTGTCCTCCCCTCCTTCCTCGTTCACTCATTTCTCCATTTCTTTTGCAGCCGTGGCCTGTGTTTGTGTTGCCTGCCCTCTTTGTCGCATCAAGTGTTATCTCCTGCCTGCCCGTACAACGCCCATGATTGACTGTCACCTGCTTGCCACTTGTTGTGTGTGAAGTTGTTGTTGCTGTTTGCTAGTTGCTGGTGCTCCCATTGCTCTTCCCCTTTCTGACTTCAAACCGATTCACCTACACCTGCGTTTGCACGCCTGTGCGTATATGTGCTGTTCCCGTGTCAGTGTGCGTATTCTTGTCGCTGTGTTTTTTTTTTTTTTTTGTCTTGCCTGCACGAAACATGTGCTTCGAAATACACTCTCGCTTGTCATTGAGCCGTTTACTCAGTGGCGTTGTGCTGCCCTTGAAGCCTGCGGTGCTGCTGCAGTGCTGCGGTGGTGTTGGATACGCGGGGGGGGGGGCGGGGTCTCACGCACACATGCACACACGTGCACACACACACACACATATGCACACGCACGTACGCACGCACACGCGCAGGTGTGGTCATCAGCCGTAACAGACGAAGCACAAATGGGTGAGAGAAACCAGCAACGTAACAAAACAAATTGCAAGAACGAAGGAAGAGAAGCAAATGCTCACAACAACCATCTCTCCTTGTGATGATGATGATGATGATGATGATGATGATGATGATGATGATGATGGCTGCTTTCACAACCATGCACAACCAAGCACAAAGGAGCAAGGATGGGGTCAACACTAACCCGATGCACTACGTGACAGCAGAGTACGCAGACGCAGACGGAGAGAAAAAGAAGGACGAGGAGGAAGGAATGGGGAAAGGGTAGGGAGGAAGATTGGACGAAAAGAAGAAGAGGGGAGGAGAAAAGACATGCGACGAATGTCAGGGCGTGTCTGCATCCTGCAAGAAAGTGAAAGCATGAGTGTGTCTGTTTGTGAGTGTGCATACAGATGATGACGCACATGCATATGCACATACTCAGTTGACACACACACACACACGCACGTAAACACACGCACGTAAACACACACACACACGCACGCACGCACGCAAACACACGTACAGACACACACACGTAAACTCACAGACACACACATACAAACACACACATACATACACACACATACACACAGACAGAGTCACTTACTTCAATGGGTCTTCTTGGCGCTGGCAGCCGGGCGGCCGGGCCAGAGGCCAGTGAGGGTGAGAAGAAGGCCAAAGAAGTGCAGTGCAGACAGGCCGAGCTGCACGCGCCAAACGGTGCCTGCAGGCAACCCAAAGAGGTCGCCAAAGACCGCAGGGCACCAGTAGGGGAGAAACAGCGCAATGGCGGTGATGCACACGGTGACGTGGGCAGCGGCAGCGAGCGGGTGAAAGTCGAGGAAGAGCGCAAGCGTCACGCTGAGAGCAAAGGCAAAGCCAATGCCAGCGAGTGCCGGCGTGTATGCCTTGCCGATGAACAGGAGGCCAATCACAGCGGCGGTGAGGTACATGAGGAACTGAGCGAAGAAGTAGATGGCAACAACGTGACTGGAGAAGGGGCGGCGAAGGCGGAGGCGTGATGCATCGTCCTTGGTGGGACGGAGCGTCCGCTTCTGCATCACCGTCGTCCAGCCGGGACCAACGACAAGGATGCGCGCAAACTCAACCAAACTGAAGCCTGCGTGCAATGTGCATGTGTGTGTGTGTATTGTTGTTGTGGTGGTGGTGATGATGATGAGGGGAAGGCCATGCGACAAGACAGAAGAGATCGGCACACACAGGCAGGCAGGAATGTAGAACCCCAGCCACGCACAGACACACAGACACACACAGATACACACAGACACACAGCCACACAGCCACACACAGCCACACACACACACACACAGCCACACACACACACACACACAGACACACACAGATACACACAGACACACACAGACACACACAGGCACAAAGAGATACACACCTTTGATGAGGAAGTGGCGCTTGATGCGGCCAAGGATGGTCTGGAAGCCCGTGTACTGGAGGCATGGCTCGAGCCAGGACTCGACAGGCCGGATCACACCGTACAGCTCAATCTCCTCCTGTTTGCGGTCCCAGTTGTAGCGCCGCACATCCTCGGCCTCGTCAAGGAAGCTGCCACGGCAGTGCAGGTTCGCGCGCGCGTGTGTGAGATGAAAGCTCAAGGCACAGCACGCTTGTGCAGCACCAAGTGGGATAGACGCACGACAAACGGGCGAGATCGTGCGCAAAGTTCACATGCACATTGACTCGTACGCGAAAGGAACTGTACGCTCACAAACAAGTTCAATACATTTGCTTTGCATACCACGCATTGCGCCATACATTCATACATAAACATACAACCACCAACCACCACCACCACCACCACCACCACCACCAACACAAGCAACACCACCACCACGCGACTCACGATCCGAAGATGCGGTCCCAGATGATGAGGACGCCGCCAAAGTTTTTGTGGACGCGACGGTCGTGATGCACGCGGTGGTGGGACGGCGTGGAGAAGAACCACTCGATCGGGCCAAGCCGGTCCACAAGGCAGGTGTGCACCCAGAACTGGTACACTGTGTTGAGGGAGCTGTTGATGAGGTAGACTTGGGGCGGGATGAACAGGGCAAAGGGCAGCTTGAGGAGCTCGCCACACGCGGCCTGCCACCACGACTGGCGCAGGGCCGTGCTCAGGTTGTAGTGCTCCGAGCTGTGGTGGACCTGGTGCCCGGCCCAGAAGAGCTGGTTCGTGTGGTAGAAGCGGTGGGCCCAGTAGTAGGCAAAGTCCGCGGTGAAGAAGCCCGCAATCCAGATGGGCCAGGCGTCCACATCCGGGCGGAAGAGGGCGGCCTTCTCCCAGATGAGGGCATACCCAAAGTAAGGCCCAATCGCCTTGAGCAGCGGAGAGATGACGGTGACGATCACAAGCTGCTGCGTGGCGCCTGCGGTGATGGAGCTCCACGAGTCCGCCAGCGAGTAGCGGGCAGCCTGCGCAACGCGGAGCGCCTTGGACAGCTGCATGAGCGCAAGCTCAACAAGCATGAGCGCAAAGTAGAAGGGGATGGCAGCGATGGTGTACTCAATGGCACCACTGCTCTTCTTGAAGTATCGCGGCCCGAGGTACAGCACGCCCCAGCCGGACAGCACGGTCGCACCAATCAGCACCAGCTGGCTCACGGCATACACCCAGCCAGGCGCAGGCGCAGACGCGGGCGCAGGGGCCGCCTTTTGCGGCGAGCCAGTGCTCGCAGTGCCATTGCCGTTCATCGTGGGTGCACCACTGTCGTTGGGGAGGCCTTGCGCCGTCTTGCCAGTGCCAAAGGTGGCCACGGGCGCAGGCGAGGTGGAGGAGGGTGCAGGTGCACCACGCGAAGCAGTCTCGTCAGCCACGGTCATATCGACACACAACAACAACAACAAGTCCTGCGAAACACCACACGCAATGTAGAAATGTTTCGGGTATCTTCAACAGTCATCTACACCACACATTCTGTGGCGACTGACTTCAGTTTTCCCCAAGACGGCACGAACCGCTTGCTTGCTTCTTGCTTGCACGAACAAACGACGAGGAGCGGGGGATGAACACCCTGCAGTGCCTGTTGACATGCACGCGCAGGTAGCTGTGTGTGTGCATGTGTGCGTGCATGTGTGTGTGCGTGCATGTGTGTGCGTGCATGTGTGTGCGTGTATTTGGCACGCACAACTACAAGCACTGCTTCATCGGCCTGAAAAAAGGAGCAGCAACAGCACGACAAGTGCAGCGCAGTTACATGATCATGGCGAGCATGCTCATGATGAGGGTGATGGTGATGGCGTGGCGTGTCTGTAAGGACAGGAATAGGTGAGGCATTGTGAGCCGCCACGACGTGCGCATGATGTGCGTGGCGTGCACGCACCGGGCTATTCTTTGATGCGACGCACACCTGCCACCCCTGCACGCACCGCTGCATCGCTGCGGCATCGCAGTATCGCAGCACATATCCCCTCCACGTATTGCACCGCAACGCAGCACCCAGCGCAGCACCCAGCGCGCACGGCTCCCATGAACACGCACATACGTGCAGAGGCACACACAATACACACGCATGCGTGCATGTTCGTGCTGGCGTGAACATGCACACGAACATGCAAGGGATGGAGTGCACGCACCCTTGTCCCTCCCGCCTCCCAGATCACCGAGCTTGCAGGCATAACTGCTTGCCGTTGCACGGGGGTTTGAGCGAGCCGGCTGCAGCGCAGCGCTCTCGCCCTATTTGTGAAGGTCGAGGTGATGGCGAGTTCATTTTTCATCTGCACCCAGCATTGCGACTCACCACCAGACCTCAAGAGGAAACGCCAAGCACCTCCAAGCCCAGGACCAGGCCCACACACTGTGCGTGACCTTCACCGCAACTGACCACCTCCTCGTCTTTGAGCGAGCGTTCCTCTGTTCCCCGCGCACACCTCTTCGCACACCTCTTCGCGCACGACCGACAAGATGCGGCTGCACGCGTTTGCGGTCGCCGCTGCGTGCCTGATGCTCTTGCACGCAACGTCTGCTGTACCAGCATATCCGTCGTACACGACGACGGAGAAGGCCTACCACAACAACAAACGGAGGCACCCGCTTACACGACAACCAAAGGCTTACACCACAAACTCTGCTATCGACTATAGGGACAACCAGGCACACACAATACACACGCATGCGTGCATGTTCGTGCTGGCGTGAACATGCACACGAACATGCAAGGGATGGAGTGCACGCACCCTTGTCCCTACCGCCTCCCAGATCACCGAGCTTGCAGGCATAACTGCTTGCCGTTGCACGGGGGTTTGAGCGAGCCGGCTGCAGCGCAGCGCTCTCGCCCTATTTGTGAAGGTCGAGGTGATGGCGAGTTCATTTTTCATCTGCACCCAGCATTGCGACTCACCACCAGACCTCAAGAGGAAACGCCAAGCACCTCCAAGCCCAGGACCAGGCCCACACACTGTGCGTGACCTTCACCGCAACTGACCACCTCCTCGTCTTTGAGCGAGCGTTCCTCTGTTCCCCGCGCACACCTCTTCGCACACCTCTTCGCGCACGACCGACAAGATGCGGCTGCACGCGTTTGCGGTCGCCGCTGCGTGCCTGATGCTCTTGCACGCAACGTCTGCTGTACCAGCATATCCGTCGTACACGACGACGGAGAAGGCCTACACCACAACAACGGAGGCACCCGCTTACACGACAACCAAGGCTTACACCACAACCACTGAGGCACCCGCTTACACGACAACCAAGGCTTACACCACAACCACTGAGGCACCTGCGTACACCACAACCAAGGCCTACACCACAACAACGGAGGCACCCGCTTACACGACAACCAAGGCTTACACCACAACCACTGAGGCACCTGCTTACACCACGGAGAAGAACCCATATGCTCCCAAGACCACAACCGAGGCCCCGTCCTACACCACAACCAAGGCCTACACAACAACCAAGGCGTACACCACCACGACGGAGGCGCCCGCTTACACAACAACCAAGGCGTACACCACAACCACGGAGGCACCAGTGTACACCACCACCACGAAGGCATACACCACCAAGCCTCCCGCCTACACCACGGAAGCGCCCGCTTACACCACACAACCTCCACAGTACACCACACAGCCTCCACAGTACACCACGCAGCCCCCTGCATACACCACGGAAGCGCCCGTCTACACCACGCAACCACCGCAGTACACAACTGAGGCGCCGGCCTACACGACTCAACCACCACAGTACACGACGCAGCCACCAGCTTACACCACGCGGCCCGCCTACCCTGTCTACACGACCCAACCACCCGCATATACGACTCAGCCACCACAGTACACCACCCAGCCGCCACAGTACACGACTCAACCGCCACAGTACACCACCCAGCCCCCCGTCTACACGACGCAACCACCCAAGTACACGACAAAGCCACCTGTCTACACCACGCAGCCACCTGTCTACACGACCCAGCCGCCCAAATATACCACGCAGCCACCTGCCTACACGACGACCACCAAGTGCAACAACGCCTACGGCGGCTGCGATGACGTGGCGCAGGGCGATCCCAGCGGCAACACGGACTCGTCCGCCTCTGGCGCCAACGGGTCTGGCCTCTCCGCCGGTGCCATTGCAGGCATCGTTGTTGGCGCGGTGCTGCTTGTCGGCGTTGTTGTTGGCGGCGCCTTCTACGCAACGAAGAAGCACCAGCAAACCGTCCTCCCGACGAACAACACGCCAGCCGAGGCGGACCACGCCTAAAGGCATCTGAATGTGTTGTGAATGTTTCGTTTGTGTGTGTTTGTGTGTGCAAGTGCACGCAGTGGTTTGTACCTACTCCCGCGTTGTTGTTGATGTCCCATTCCTATGCTGGTGTTGAGGCACATTGTCCCCCTCCCCCTGCCTCTCTCTTGTTGCCCTTTGTGCTTTGTGCGTGCTTGCATGCCCCCTTCCCTCTTAAATCTTGCAAGATGAGCGGTTTGTATTGCTGTGGGCTGTGTTGCTTGTTCATTGGAGGAGTGGGTGGTCGCTTTGTTTTGCTTCTCGGCTTGCGTGTGAAGCGATCCTGTGATGGTGGTGGTTGTCGATGCGTGCGCCGTTTTGATGAAACTTGACTGGCTCATGTTTCCCATACAAAACGACATACAGAAAACGAAGTGCTGAAATGTGCGTGCAGTCAGTGTCAGTGAGCTAGTGAGACTAGACGACTCATGATGTGACATGACAGCGCAGAGTTGGCGTGTAGTTGGCGTGTAGCTGCCTGTGCGTGCGTGCGTGTGAGGGAGAGAGGGAGAGAACGGGAATGCTGAAGCGGGGCAGAAACGAGACATGTTGTGTCAGCAGACGCAGAAAGAACAGCAACGCGTGCCAAACAAACAACAACAACAACAACGCAGCAACGCAGCAACGCAGCAACGCGTTCAAATTGTGCGCGGCTGGACGATCGACTGAATTCAGGGTTGTACCCTTTTGTGAGGCAAAAGTTCCCACACAGCAACACAAACAACGCACTTTCCCTTCCTCCAAACAACACTGCCAAAGATGAAGGTGTTTGCGTTTGCTGCAGTGGTGTGCGCTGCTCTTGTCGCCGTGGCGCTGTGCCCGATGGGCGCTGAGGCCACCTATGGCGTGGACGTCTCCCAACAGACCTACGAGAACGCCTGGAGCGTGAGTTCATGTGTACATGTGTGTGTGTGTGTTGTACGTGTGTGTGCGTGTGTGTGTTGTGTGTGTGTGTGTGTGTGAAGGTTGTGTGTGAGTGCATGTGTGTGTGCTTGTGTAGGCTGTGCGTGTGTGTGTGTGTGTGTGTAGGTTGTGTGTGTGTGTGTGTGTGTTTGATCCATCCTGTCTGTGTGTGGCTCGCTTCATGCGTGATTATACCACCAGACCACGTGTATCACTCGTGCTGCCCTCAATTTCCCACACGTACACACGTACACTCTCACGACCCACTGCACACACGCTGGACATTCCCTCTCCCATCTCTCACCCCCACCCCCTCCCAAACACACACACACACACACACACACACACACACACACACACACACACACACACACACACACACACACACACACACACGCACACACCACCACACACCAGGCCTCAAGTCCAACGGGTACGCTTTGGTGTCATTCGCTGCTTCATGTCGACGGGCCACCCGGACCCCAACTGCCCGCACACCATCTACAATGCTTGGGATGGCGGCATGGACCACGTGGACATCTACTTCTTCCCTTGCCCCACATGCGGCAACCCGGCCGGCCAGATCGACGCCATGGTCGCCAACCTCGCCAAGTACAACATCAAGCCCGGCAACGCCAAGCCAGGCACCTACGGCATGCTGTGGCTCGACATTGAGGGCCCGCAGTACTGGACCAAGGACGTCGGCGCCAACCGCAACTTCTTCAGCGGCCTCGTCTCCCAGGCCAAGGCCCACGGTATCCACCTCGGCGTTTACACCAGGCAAGTGCAATGTGTGTGTGTGTGTGTGTGTGTGTGTGTGTGTGTGTGTGTGTGTGTGTGTGTGTGGGTGAGAGTGTGTGCGGGGCAAACGCGGGCTGTGAATAAAATAAGGGGTGCGTTCGCGGACAAGAAGGAAAAGATCGTTAGGAAGGAGTAAGACCATCACCATCGCTTTTATCTGCTGAACACCA